GCCTGATATCTACGAAAATAAAGACCTGCAAGGGATGCTTAGCCAGGTCTGGATAAGGATCATATGAGGATCATTTCCCTTTTCCCGATTACAGAAATAGTGTCTGAAACCGTAAAGCCTTTTATGGATCTTACAATGAACGTATAGGGTTTCCCGACCAGATCCTGCTGTAATCACACCCCACATAGCACGAGACATTCTTTGTATATTGGTTTTTGGTCCATAATGTGAAAAACATGTCTTGTATATTCTATGGATATGTTTTCTGCATACACCTATGTATTGTGACGTTAATTTTTCATGCCAGACGGAACGATACCGTCACAAATTACAATCCTTACTTTTCCCCGAGATCTAGGAATTCGGAATATTAAATGCTCATGAGCGCCAGGCACACCTTTGTGCCACGAGACTGCATAGGAAGATTCCGAGGGAAAGAAGGAAATTAGCCAAGCCAGCTAGATCGCAACGTGATAGTAGAAGGGCGGGGATCTTATAGATGGTACGCGGAATAAAGATTTAGAACTTCCAATTAATCAGTAACGAAAATAACAATGGGCCTTTTATTTTGGGACTTTTGATAATTAACAATGATAACAAAATAATAGACGGAAATGGTAATTTCGATACCAATAATAAGTAAGCCACGCGATACGGGATTCCTTACGGGGCGCGTGGATAAATAACAAAATCCGATGTTACGTTAGCTACCGAGAATTAATCCGTTGCCGATACTGAGTTACGCGTACGAAGGTCGACTCTATCTACGACCTGAGACGTAGTTGCTAAACACACGATTCGGGCGAATAACGGAACGGGTCGGTTCGAGTGGCGGAATTAACAAGAATCATGAAACATAAAGAATATGGAACATACGAATTTACGCAGAATAAATAATATACAATAGTACTATACGAAACTCTAGAGACAAGAAGAAAAATAGTTACAGATTCATAAAGATGATAATTACGTGTAGAGAATATCAATATCTTATTTAATACTGTAGGCTCTTCAACAATATGCCTTGCTACTTATTTCTACGTCCTACGAGTCTATCACGGGAAGCGTGATAAACAGATTCTCTACGATTCTCCAGGGTCACCAAGAGTAAGGCGATAGCCGAAATATACAATAGACAACAAATTATAATAAATAGGTAGTTCAAGCGGTAGGCACGGAATCTTTTCCCACTGTACGTTACGCGATCGTCTCCTAGGCCGAAACCGGGAGGAAAGTAATAACGAGATACAAGTTCGCAATTAAACAGTAATTACACTGATGGAAAAGATTTCGTCCTCTCGACGACGAGACGCTTACCGTGAACGATACAATATTTCTTCTACGGTATAACTTGTTCGAAACGAAACCACCGGCCAAGACGGCTAACTAATAGAGAATGAATATCTTCGGGAGTTCTTCGGGACTCGGGGCCAGCGCCAGCTCCCTCATCCCCGCCGGGCCCTCCTGGGCCAATCATCGACGTCGAAGGTACTCGCCAATTGTAGGCCCTCGCGCTAACTTCAAAACATGCCACCGGATTCAAATACATCTTACGATAATTACATTAACAATTTCTATGAACTTAACCCTACGAGAAGGACGCGGAACGATATAATGTCTATAACCGGAGCCTCATTGTAAACGATACAATTCTTTACTTTGGAGGACGGTTCCGCTAGTTTATTCTTAATCCTAGTCCTCGCGACGGATCCTGTTCGCTGGACTCGGAACTCTTCGGGATGTCACAACTCGTTGCCGTAGCTAGGGTGTCCGGATACTTCCTCCTGAGTTGGTTCTCGTCCAGACTCCGGTCGGGACGGATAAGTGGTGGAGGGTGGCGACCCCTTGCACCTAGACAGCTTCCTGAGCCTTCCATCTTCTTCGGTACTGTTGGCGTTCCCTTCGCGGGACGTCCGTACCGGCGGTAATGCGAGATCGGTATGATCCAGTGCGATGTCTTATACTGTCTCGGCTTCCCACTTGATTCGGTGGCCGTCAGCTGCGGGGTGGAGGCACCTGGTGACGTAGTGCGTCTCCACGGTCCCTCGCGGGACTGGTGGCTACTTCCTTCGAGCGAGGCTGCGACTGTTGTATTCTTAAAGTGTAATTTGCGCTTTTTTATTTGTAAGTTTGTATGTAAGGACACGTTCCGGTAAATTCTCTAAGTTTAAGTATTTTATTATAGCATGCGAGGTTTAGGACAGACAGATGTTTCGTCCCTTTTAGTTGACCGATCCCGAAGATAGGACACGGCGACGCGTCTAGTATCTTAACGAGTGTTAAATATACTAGCCATAAAAAATCAGAGGAAAGCGAGAGAAAAGGTACCGAGATTCGCCGAGCGAAGCGCATAATTTTATGGTTTTATTAGGTTAAGGGCTGCACAGCACATGGGAAAACTTGTGGGAAAAACCCCGAGTATGGCGACGGTTTTGGGGAAAATCCCAAAGACTGGAGGCGCACTTTTATGGTTTTTATGGTGTTTGCGTGCGTTCACTGCGCTTTTGGCGCAAGTATATATATATCCGGCCGCTCGGCGGCATGCGTGCTTAGTTTTTTGCGTAGCTTCGAAGCGAGACAGTTGTGCTCCTCGAACGTTTTCTGGATTTCCTCTTGTCAATTTTACAGATAAACTTTCACTTAGTTTTACTGAATATCTCTTGTTGTTTCTTCGATTATATTAATGAATAACATATTTTACCCCAGCCTATTCTCAAACATTTGGCGACCGTGACAGGACTGGGGTCCTATTAGTGTTTTGTTATTCTTAATATAATGTTGTGTGTTCAGTGAAAAATGGATTTGGCAAAAAAAAAAACGCAGTATTTTGCGCGCGGGTTTTACAAGAGCGTTTGGCAAGTTTAATGCATTTTTAGAAGATGTGGAGAGTACGGATACCGCGTTAAGTGTTTCGTTTTGTACTTTAGAATCAAAAGCAGCCGCGTTAGATGAAGGGCAAGAAGCTGTTATAGACGCCATCATGGAAACCGCGACTGAAGATGAGTTACAAAACGAATATGATGAAGGCGACGCGTACAAACTTCGTTTTACGACAGCCAAGGGTACGGTATGCCGAGCGAAAGAATAAAGTGAACCCAGTGCCGATTAACCAAACAGAGACAAGCCAGTCTAGTGCATCTGCGTCGAGGGGTAGTGCCCAAACTACCGACGTAAAGTTACCGGCTTTAGAATTTCAAAAATTTAATGGTGATGTGTATAATTGGCTATCATTTTGGAACTGTTTCAAAAAGATAGACGAAAATAAGAAACTTAGTGATACCGATAAGTTTCAGCTTTTGCTTCAAGCGATGGAGACGGATTCAACAGCGCACACTTTAGTGAAAAGTTACCCTCAATCTGCCGAAAATTATAAGAAAGCGTTGAACGCGTTAAAAGGTCGTTTTGGGCAAAACGAAGTGTTAATCGAATTGTACGCGCACGAACTCATCCAGCTTGTGTTTAACTATATGATCAACCCGAAAAATCGTATGTCCCTCGCAGATTTGTACGATAAACTAGTGGCACATCTAAGAGCATTGAAATCACTAGGAGTCGCTACGGGCAAGGATTCGTCGCTGCTCGTGCCGTTGGTTGAGTCATCCTTACCGGAAGAGTTGTTGCGTATATGGCAACGCAGGAAACGCGAGCCACCGCAGGACGAAAATGAAGCTTCTGATGCTCCACAGCCAAGAAAGGACCGACTTACGCGCTCGCTCGAATTTATCGAAAATGAAGTCAACGGAGAGATGCGCATTTCAATTCTAAAAGGTCGTTTTGATGTAAGCCGTGATAGTGAAAACCAAAAGCATAAGCATCATCATAACTCAAAGAAACCTGCCAATCCGACCGCCATGGGTTTATTGGCTGCAAAGGGTAAGGAGACTAATTGTTTATTTTGTGATTTGAAATCGCATAGCAGTGAAAATTGTGCAAAAGCTGCATAAGAAGTTGAAGGAACACGAAGAAACAGTGTTTGCAGAATTTTTAGAAACAGTTGTTTTCAATAGCGAGGGTCGTTATGAAGTAGAATTGCCGTGGAAGAAAAATCACGCACCCCTCGTCGACAACAAAAGTGTGGCCATTAAACGGTTGGATTCGTTAGTTACCAAACTAAAGAAGGAAGAAAGATACAACGAATATGACAACGTGTTCAAGGAGTGGCAGCGCGAGAAGATCATCGAACGTGTACCTGAAGAAGAAGTAGACGATTGGGGACACTATTTACCTCATCGGCACGTCGTAAAGGAGAACAGCACCACAGTGCTTAGGCCTGTATTCGACGCGTCTGCAACACAGCCGCCGCACCCAAGTTTAAATAAGTGTCTGCACAAGGGACCAAATCTCATTGAGGAGGTGCCAGCGATTTTATTACGTTTTCAAACGAATAATATTGGTGTTGTAGCGGACATTAAAAAGGCGTTTTTGCAGATTCTTCTGAAGTTAAAAAATAGAAATTTTATGCGTTTTTTTCTGGTATGATGAACATAATAATTTAATTATATTTCGACATTGTAGAGTAGTTTTTGGCATGTGCTGTAGCCCATTTATGCTAGGTGCGGTTATAAATCTGCACTTAAAAAATTTACTTTCGGATATAAACAGTAATAAAGAATCAGTTTTTACGCGTTCTGCAATTGAAAAACTTTTAAGTAGCTTTTACGTTGACAATTGCGTCACTAGCATAAATACGATTGACGAATTAAATGACTTTATGTTTCAAGCAAAGAAGGCGATGGAGCTTGCTGGTTTTGATCTCCGCGGTTGGGAATTTAGCGGGGACAACTTAAGTGAAAATAAGACTCCGGTATTGGGTATTTTATGGAACAAAAATAGCGATGCGTTATCATTAAACGTTTCTAATTTAAATGAAATTAATGTAGAAAAGGTCACAAAGAAAGATATTCTATCGTATACGCATCGCATTTTTGATCCTTTAGGTTTCGTGTGCCCGATCACCCTTTGTCCGCGAATTTTATTGCAGGAAGCATGGGCGAAAAATCTTACGTGGGATGAAGCCACGCGTAACGCGTTACATGTGGTTCTTTATTTTTTATTACATCAACATTTTCTTGAGGACGCTGTTTCTTATAACTCTTTTTTGCTATCTCACTATTTTTAATTACAGTTGACTCTTTAACATTTAAGTCAGTATTATTATAATTTAATTCTAGCGGAAAAACTCTTTGAACCGGTCTAAATAATTCTCCAGTAGCTGTCTTCAATCTTACTACCCGTACTACACCATCTTTTCCAGTTATTTTTTCCGTTACTCTAGCTAAAGGCCAATGTAGTCGTTTAACATTGTCATAACCGATTAATACGATATCGCCAACTTTTATCTCAACGGGATAATCAACTTTCGAGCGTTGATTGATCAGCGCGCCTAAATACTCGCTTCTGAACCGGTGTCTCAATTCTTCTTCTAGAGTTTGACGATACGCATAACGCTTGTTAAGTGGACTTCTTTCCACATTATCTAAATCTAACACGCCAATTTCTTTAATCTCTTGCAGAAAATTTGATGTAGCTAGCGGCATGATCTCATTTTCACTTTCAGAGACGAACGTGATCGGTCTTGAATTAATGATACCCTCGCAATCGATAAGAACTGTACTCATCTCTTCGTAGTTTAAGCAAGACTTTTTAAGGGTACGGCGTAATAATTTTTTCAAAACTCCTATCAATCGTTCCCAGAATCCTCCCCACCAGGCCGCAGCGGGTGGATTAAATTTCCATTCTATCTGCTCCGTCGCTGCTAAACTAGCTAATATTTTATAATCGATACGTTTTAGTTCGTTGTTTAGCCCGGAAAAATTCAATCCATTGTCACTGTAGCCTACACTCGGCCGACCTCTTCTTGCAATAAAGCGTCGTAAAGTCATAATTAGCGATCCGACGTTTAATGAACATACTAGTTCGAAGTGTACTGCCCTAAATACTGCACAGGTGAAAATGCATACCCATGCCTTTTTTCCGTCTTTTAGATAAATAGGCCCGGCATAGTCTATACCTACAACTTCGAATATAGCTGCATCTCTCACACGATTTAAAGGCAAGGGCGCTGAAACTGAGGTACCTGGCTTTGAACTGTGTCTACGGCACACTACACACTTTTTTATAACCGCTCTAATTGCTTGTCTCGGCCTAATGATCCAAAAATTTTCTCTTAACGTATTCATAATAATTTGCGATCCCGCGTGATGCAAATTTATATGTTGATCACGGATAAGCAATTTTACAATCTCATTTTTTCCTGATAAAACGTACGGGCATCTAAAGTTAAAAGAATCCTCACGCAAAATAATTTTTGATTTTAATCGAATCAAACCATCGTCATCGGTAAATAATGTGTATTGATCGTCTATCTTCTTATCAAACAATTGCACGCTCTCCGCTTGAACTAACTTTAATAAAACAATCGTTTTTAACTTCCTCACAACTTAAATCGCTCTTATCACGTAATTCAAATTTAACTTTACAAAATCTCACGAATCTTTTCATATACGCGATAACCCGAACGACTTTAGAATATTTAGAGCAATGATCTAGCAAGCGTTGCATTACAAATCGGCGATCTATAGTTGACGATACTGCTAAAAAACTGATAGTTTTATCAATAAATTGTGCGTTTTTTCGTAATTCTGCATTAATTTCTTCCTTGTTATATAAACTTGCGCTAACAGGCCACTTATCGTGAGACTGACGTAACCATTCGGGACCCTCGTCCCATTTTAATTCTATCAAACGCGCGACAGTACACCCTCTCGACAGGAGATCGGCCGGATTTAGGTTGCCTGGAACACGACGCCAACATTTGGGATCGGTGAGCTCGCGAACATCTTTTACTCGGTTATGAACGAATACGCTCCAATTATATTCCCTATTGATCCACGCTATTAAAGTCGACGAGTCAGACCAAAAATACGTTTTTACATTATGTAAATTCAACGTCTTTATAATCGTATTAGTTAATCTTGCACCGATCGTAGCTGCTAACAACTCTAAACGCGGTATACTTTGACGAGCATCTGGGCTGATTTTCGCGGGAGCGACTCGCGATTTAGCTTGTACAAAATTAACTCTAACGCCTGAACTACTTTTAATGCGTATAAAAATTACCGTTGCATAAGCAAATTTACTTGCATCACAGAAGGTGTGTAAGCTTACTTCATGCTCCGAATTAATTTTTCCCATTAAACATCGAGGTATTTCTACATCACCTAAAATTTTCGAGTCGTTATACCATTTAAGAAATTTTGTCTTTATCTCTATACCGACAGCGACTAATGGTCTGTCTAGGCGTGGCTGCTCTTTGCTGCCTCGGCGAAACGTTGATGGTGGTGGTGGCCGGATACGAAACGCATGAAATAGTTGCACGGAACAAAAATTATTAATCTTATGTAATTCTAATACAATCTTGGACCCTGGAGTTCTTGGCCGGTACCTCTCGCGACTCTCCCGAGGGACGGTAATGCGTCCTGTATTTAAAACACGCTAGTTCTACACTCGGGACCTTGCGACGTGAATTTTAACGTCACAGTATATACATGCACATATAAATATCCATAATACATACAGTTGTGCTCCTCGAACGTTTTCTGTATTTTCACTTGTCAATTTTACAAATAAAGTTTCACTTAGTTTTACCGAATATCTCTTGTTGTTTCTTCGATTATATTAATGAATAACATATTTTACCCCAGCCTATTCTCAAACACTATCTGATTTCTGAGACCATGGTCTAATATTATATGTCCGATTGATGTTCGTGGATTCGTTCCGCATTGTTAGTGTCTTTTGCGTTAATCTTTCCGCATTTAAGTAAATTAATTAGAGCGTATTATTTAGTTTGGCGAAACTTGTACCTTTACAATCCGTATACTTTGCGTTTTTGAATTATATAATGTCACCTTTGCGAAGTTCAATCGATATAATTAGTAGATTTTCTTGCTTATGTTTTTCCGGTTGATGATCATTCTATTGCTTGCTTATCTATGCTTACGTTTTTCTTTCCGCATGTATATTATAGTAATCTCCGTAAATTAACTTCACTTTCATTTATATAGAATCTTTTCCTTGGCTTTGTTAATTTAGTGTAAGACTTGTGTTAATTCGGTTTGCTTTGCTTTGCACCGCTCTTGTCTGCTACTTTAT